CGTTGAACGTGACTGGTCAGCATAGCCATGACGGTATTGGTTAAATGCATTGGGTAAAGTTTGTCATCAGTCATTGTTGTGTTTCGAACCGTCTATTTTTAGTAAACTTGGTCGGATTTGGTCCGTGTATTGTTAAGTCGGTCTGTTAGAAGTCCGTTTGTCGGTTTCGTTTCCGTCATGGATAAGTCGTTTGTAAGGCGCCGGTAGTTGTTGACATCTGTTAAGAGGCGTTTGTTCTGGGTTAGTGTACCAGCTTTCCAGAGTCAGCTTATAACTACGTTACGACACTTGACACGAGACTGACTGAACACAAACGAGCTAGGAGAAATGGTGACGCCAACAATCACATTGCTGTACGACAACTGGCAAACCACAGCATTGACTGCAACTCTGCTCAGTGCTTTTCTACAGTACAAACTATTTTCAACGACTGACTCTGGAAAGCTGGTATACCAACCTAGAACAAACGCCTTTTAATACATGTCAACAACTACCAGCGCTTTACAAACGACTTATCCATAACGGAAACGAAACCGACAAACGGACTTCTAACAGATCGATTTAACAATACACGGACCAAAAACCGACCTATTTGACTAACAATAGACGGATCGAAACACACCAATGACTGATGACAAACTTTACCCGAGCGTTTTAGCCAATACCATCAGGGCTATACTGACCAATCACGTTCGACGGACCAGACTTATAACATCATCAACTGACAAACACTATTCACTTGACTCTGAAGATGACTTCCGCTCAGCTTGTGAAAAGGTCAGTCACCAACAACAGTTCTTTTCAGAGCTACCCTCACCCGGACGATCACATTATACGAACTACTGATACTCCTGGGTTCTAACCATTTACTATAGAATATTATTACCCTAAATAACTAAAAAGCTTCATTTGTGTTATTTTTATTAGGGTACATAAAGGAAGTCGCCATGAACAACATAGACGACATTTTACAAGCCATCTTTATTGGCTTGGTTGTTGCTACCTTCCTTCTCAACACTGGTCGTGCTCTAAAAGCCATTGAGATTTGCAAGGAATGTTTGATGCCCCTAAATAATAAAGTGCTAAAAATGGAACGAGAAATTTTCAATTCACTCCATATTGGTATCTACAAAACATCCTTCAGGGCGTACTGTCTTATCCCTGATCATACCAAAGCACTTATCTACGGTAGGAAACTTCTTGACATTTACCGCAAGCGTGGTAAAACAGACGAGGAAGGAAATCATATGGTAAAACTGGCCGACATATATACACAGCAGCATAAATACCTAGAAGCCAGAGAACTTTATGAGAAAGCGATTAATATCCCGAAAGAAAAGGGTGACAGAAGGAATGAAGCAAACACTTATGAAAAGATTGGAATTATATCTTATTATCTCAGTGACTACGACAAAGCAAAAGAAAATTTTAACAAAGCACTTGCCATCAGATTACAAACTGGTGACAAAAACGGACAGGCAGCAGATTACGGAAACCTAGGAGCTGTGTTGGAATCTCTTGGTCAATATGACAAGGCTAAAGAATATCTTGAAAAAGCACTTGCCATCAAAACACAGATTTGTGACAAAGAGGGAGAAGGCACCTTGTACGGAAATTTAGGAACTGTGCTTTTATCTCTTAGTGAATATGGCAAAGCTAAAGAATATCTTGACGAAGCACTTTCCATCAATATACGAATTGGTGACAAAGAGGGAGAAGCCGGCTCGTACGGAAAGTTAGGAATTGTGTTTCAAGCTCTTGGTCAATATGACAAGGCTAAAGAATATCATGAGAAATCACTTGCCACCACAATACAAATCGGTGACAAAAAGGGAGAAGCAAGGTCGTACGTAAACTTAGGAACTGTGTTTTTATCTCTTGGTCAATATCACAAGGCTAAACAATATCTTGAGAAAGCACTCGCCATCACAATACAAATTGGTGACAAAGACGGAGAAGCCAGCTCGTACGGAAACTTAGGAACTGTGTTTACATCTCTTGGCCAATATGAAAAGGCTAAAGAATATCTTGAGAAAGCACTTGCCATCATAATACAAAACGGTGACAAAAATAGACAAGCCACCACGTACGGAAACTTAGGAACTGTGTTTTTATCTCTTAGTGAATATGGCAAGGCTAAAAAATATATTGAGAAAGCACTTGCCATAACAATACAAATCGGTGACAAACTGGGAGAAGCCAGCTCGTACGGAAACTTAGGAACTTTGTTTGCATCTCTTGGTCAATATGACAACGCTAAAGAATATCATGAGAAAGCACTTGCCATCAAAATACAAATCGGTGACAAAAATGGAGAAGCCAGCTCGTACGAAAACTTAGGAACTGTGTTTAAATCTCTTGGTCAATATAAGAAGGCTAAAGAATATCATGAGAAAGCACTTGCCATCACAATACAAATCGGTAACAAATATGGAGAAGCCAGCTCGTACGGAAATTTAGGAACTGTGTTTGAATCTCTGGGTCAATATGACAAGGCTAAAGAATATCTTGAGAGAGCACTTGCCATCAGAATACAAATTGGTGACAAAGAGGGAGAAGCCAGCTCGTACGAAAACTTAGGAGCTGTGTTTACATCTCTTCGTCAATATGACAAGGCTAAAGAAAATCTTGAGAAAGCACTTGCTATCAGAATACAAATCGGTAACAAAAGTGGAGAAGCTATCTCGTACGGAAACTTAGGAACTGTGTCTATATCTCTTGGTCAATATGACAATGCTAAAGAATTTCTTGAGAAAGCACTTGCCATCAGGATGCAAATTGGTGACAAAGAAGGGGAGGCAGCAGATCACGCCAACTTAGGAGCGTTGTATGGATTGGTTGGTGAATATGTTATGGCTGAAGATTATATTGAGAAGGCATTGTCAATTACGCGAGACATTGAAGACTTAGACAAGGAGTTTAACATTCTTTGTGTTCTTACAGTGGTGAAGTTATTCCAATACAAGATCCAGGAAGCGTTTGACTGTTTGTTTCTGAGTATGAACAAAAGCGAATCTTTACGAAGTTTCTTAGGGGAAAACGACGATTTTAAGGTCTCGTCCTTAGACGTTCGCAATTTTCCCTACCAAATTCTTAGTGCATTCTTTTGTTTTTGGGGAAATCCAAACCATGCACTTTATGTTTTAGAGCTGGCACGGGCTAGGGCATTAGCAGACTTGATGGCAACTCAGTATTCTGTTGAAAGCCACATCTCAGCTGATCCGCAATCGTGGATTGGTATTGAAAATATTATGAAAAAAGAAAGCAACTCTTCTTGTGTGTACATTTCTTATCGTGATCATAATCTGTTTTTCTGGGTTCTCAAGACAAGTGGAATCATTCATTTCCGAAGAATAACAGTGGATGAGAAACTAATTGATGCTCGACTAATTGGGAAGTTAGATAATTTCCTCGCCAAAAGCTTTCGAGGCTTTGGTATTTTGCCCGAGGAAGATTGTGAAGATCGATCTTTAAATGAAGTTCAGAGCCTCGCAGCATTGAGACTTATAGAGGAGGAAGACGAAGAAAGTGGAAACTCCGAATCGAGCTTTTCTTTGTACTACAGAATGTTAATCAGTCCGGTAGTTGATCTACTTGAGGAGCTCGAGCTCATTGTTGTTCCTGATCGCTGCTTAAACCAAGTTCCATTTCCAGCGTTAAAGGATGAAGCAGGGAGGTATTTATCAGAGAAATACAGAATCCGCATCGTTCCTTCTTTGACAACTCTAAAGCTCATTCGGGACAGTCCTTCATACTATCACAGTCAGACTGGTGCTCTGATAGTTGGGGATCCAGCTGTCGGTATGGTGCGTTACAAAAGAGAGGAAATGCCTTTTTCCAGGTTACCCTGTGCATTGAATGAAGCAGTTATGATTGGACGACTGCTAGGAGTTCAACCTTTGTTAGGACAGCACGCAACAAAGCAGGCGGTACTTGACAGGTTACATTCAGTGAGTCTGATACATTTTGCAGCCCATGGTAATGCCGACAGAGGAGAAATTGCTCTTTCTCCGGTACGCCGTCCTAACAGGATTCCANCAAAGCAGGCGGTACTTGACAGGTTACATTCAGTGAGTCTGATACATTTTGCAGCCCATGGTAATGCCGACAGAGGAGAAATTGCTCTTTCTCCGGTACGCCGTCCTAACAGGATTCCAGAAGAGGAAGATTACCTATTGACGATGTCGGACATTGCAAACGTTCAACTACGAGCTAAACTGGTGGTACTTAGCTGCTGTCATAGTGCATGTGGGCAGATTAGAGCCGAAGGAGTCGTTGGGATTGCTCGAGCGTTCTTAGGATCCGGTGCACGGTCTGTTTTGGTGGCTCTCTGGGCCATAAGTGACAAAGCAACAGAGCAGCTGATGTGTCGCTTCTACGAGCATCTTGTTCGGGGTGAGAGTGCGAGTGAATCTCTTCACCAGGCCATGAAGTGGATGAGAGCTAACGGCTTTGACATGGTTTGCGAATGGGCACCATTTTTGCTGATTGGAGATAACGTGACATTTGACTTCGGAAAATAAAAGTAAGTTTCCTTAAATACGAAACTTTTGCTAGCTAAGCTAATAATTTTGAACTCAACCAGCGTCCTTTTATGTTAAAGGTATGCAACTTTTGTTTTATATTAGGAATGTTTGCGATAGGTACTGATCATCTGATAGTTGACTTAAGGCTTCACCCTGGTTAATGAAGCCGATTGAAACCAAGAGTGTGCAGTTTAAATGCCTTAGCATAACCCAGTGGATGTTCTAACATTGTCATCAAAAGTTATTTAGTGGATGTTTTGTTTAAGATACCTTTCTTTCGATTATAACCACAAAAACACTACTGGAGGCACTGTTTGAGTGCATGTTTAGCCAATCGGATTGAGAAGTTTTCTAGTAACCTGATACTTGGGTATGTTAAGTAAATAATAGAGTGTTTCTGTCGAGAAACTAATGGCTGATAGCTGCCCCGCGGTAATTTGATGGTCTTAAAACAAATATTTGCGTGAGAGGCGAAGCTTTGAGGGCAATATGCTAGTTTTAAGAGGTGCCCTCTGTAATTTTCAACTATGGCCATTTGGACCAGAAAAAATCAAATTCCTCAAACTTTCTCAGATGAATGGCCTAGATAAGTGATTCACAAAAATATAACTTTCAGTTCAATTCGATTCGTATTTTAGCGCTGGGGCCACCATCTTGGTTTTGCCCCTCTG